ACAACTAGCCTTAGGCCTAGATTTAATACAACAAATCCTTAAGAACAAACATTTGGATAACAAAGCAGGGTGTCCTGTTAAAACATAATGATTTGTTGTAGTGTGCACAGGACAGCATGCCATTTGATTTGTCTTGCACTGTCTGTGGTGTAATTTGGCCTATAAATAGGTAAAATAAACCAATTCATTCATTAATCAAGATTCTAAATGATATATGTTCAAGCACTACACTTTTACTTTCTAACTACACTTTATTTGTTTAACAAATGCATCAATTTTTAAGAGACAATACCGTAATAGTCACTTTTATCTTTAATCGAATAAACAATTGAGGTAACTTGCCTTATAAATGCAGATGGTTTGTGGAGAGGCTATCACGAAAAGAGATATATTTCAACATGTTTTATTTGTTAGATGCTGTTTCTTTTTCTTTGTTCCCAATGATGTAAGCTGGTTATTTCATCCAGAGAAAGGTGTCAAACCCCATTTCAAACTCTAGCAAGGGTCCTCTAAGGATTGTGGGCCAACAAGGCTAATAGATTTCTTCTAAAATAAAAATAAAAATGGACAGACCAAATGGGAAAGTGACCTGGCTTTTCTGACCTTGTCTAGCTTAGGCTATAATCAGTTGTTGATTAATTGTAGTCTATATGTTGATTATAAATTATTGTTCAAAATTCTTTATTTTTTTCATTTAATTTTTTTTCTCAAATTGTTTAAAGGCTAAAATGCACTAATAATAATCATTATATAGGCTAGATTTTCTGTAAAATAAAGTTTGGATCAAACTTTATGTATCTCTTCGGTCATTTGTGAAATGCTGCCTTTGAGACATGGCTCAGGAAATTCTTGTCAGTGAGGAGGCAGTTTATTTATATACACGACATCGATCTCATTAAAATATATATATCTAATAAGAGAAGAGATAATAGAGGTAAATCCTCTCGTTTTTCAGAAGATTGCTGGGTCCATCTGTTGGTTCGACGGAGGCAGACAGCATACATTTCCACGGGCTGCCGCATTATCTCAGGAATTATTCATAAACGCGTTTAGAATTAATTCCTTGGATTAAGAGTTGATTAAGATGTGTGTCACTTTGCTGTCTGAGAACTTATTAAGGGCCCACTCGAGCCGGCGGCAGATGGAATTTCTACCCAATGTTTGTAGATGTTAATTTCTCCCCTCCTAACATCCATTTGCATTCGGCTGTGTATGTCAAAGCGCGGCTTTTCCAGCACGCACAGCCCCGAATATCCGTGTTGGAGATGCTCATCTCACTCACTATATAAGATCGGGCATGTTTATTATTAGGCTACATTACGCGGTATGCACGCGCTATTCGACTGAGATACTAATGTTTTTAGTAATGAAATTATGACATCCACAAATACTATTCTTGATATTTGTTTGTTAGCAAAATGTGAAGAAAGTATAGGGTAGGCTTAAACTTGGATGTTTAAGTCATTTCAATTTAAAGTAGGCTAAACTGACTTAAAAAACTTGCATAACTTTTGATGAGTTAAAGCAATGTAAAAACATAGGCTATGTTGTCATAAATTATTGATCATAGTTTTTTTTTTTTACAGTGATATGGCCTCAGCTGAAGCCAAAGTAGGCTACACAAGCTTGTTTGTATTTGTGTATTATATCCCCACTGAAAGCAACATGAGAAGACATGACCAAACACAAGCGTCACGCATTGTTCTGCCTGTGTGGTTTAACCACACACATATATGAACTGTTTTGGTTGTTTTTTTTAGCTATTTTGTTTAAGCGATATTTAGCGGTTATGATTGGCTTTTGAACGCTTGTTGTAGCCTATATTAACTATGATAGCCTGTGGTAGGCTATTTATCGTTTCTAATAAAAAATCGTTGAAATAAAAACAAGCATTCGTCATAAACAAGAGAACTTGGCCTAGGCTATAGGCTACTGAAATAAAATACAATTTAGATTAAATAAATAGGCTAATATAAACGAAATGAAGCCTATTCTGATCATTTTTTGTATTTTGATACACCGGCAAAAAATGTTTCGGTCAATCTTGTTTGACTATTTGGCCGCATGTAAATTTAGATAAACAGGTGCGTTTGCTTGAGTATTTTTATAGGCTATTTTACATGTTCAGAAATGCCCCCAAACCCTGGCTGAAGCTAGGCTAATGTAGCCTTAGAGAAATTGTTGCATGTCATTGTTCATTTATTCCAATTTTATAAATTAACCTGTTTTAAAATATTATCTGAATATTTTTTGTTGCTATTCGTTTTTATAGCCTACGAAATAACTGAGTGCGCGCGGGTTGGCTTTGGATCACATGCCAATCAGTTTGTAGCCTATAGGCTATTGCATTAATATTTTGACTTGCATTAATATTTTGATAGGCTATAGCCTATAACAATCCTGGAAAAAAGGTTAAATGATATGCAGCCACATAAAAAGAGAAATTGAGGTTTTATTACAAATGTAGGCTAACAAAAGTTTTACAAACCGCCTCCAAATCTTAAATTAAATTGATCTGAAGGGACAGATCGGCTAATTTAACTCACAATCAATGTAAGCTTTTAGTTTAACATACAACTAATTAAAAAAAAATATCTAAAGCCTTTCACAAGCCATGCTAACTGAAAAAAAAAATATCCAAAGTGCAGGTATCATATAGCCTACGCTAAACTTATGATTTTTTTAATGAAAGGGATTGTGATATAAAGTTTAAAAATTGCTTCTGATCATCTAGTGTTAAAAATATTGTCTAATAAATCCATATATAGGCTATAGGCTTTATTATTAAGAAAGCACTTGACCCGACACGATATTGCATATTTTAGAGTTAAAGAGTTATTTATTTTAAGTTAAATAGTAGCCTAGTCTACATAGGCTACTGAGGTTTGTACATTCCGGGACATCATCACATCAACTTCAGCCCGATGATAGGCTAAATGACGCTCGCACGTCCCGTGTTTCTCCTCAGTCGCCGATCAAAACTGATCTTCATCACTAGCCTACAGCTTTGGTGCACCGTGCCATATCAGCAAAATGTGCTGCGATCTATTTAGTCTGACACGACCTATGTTAGCGTATTTTTTTGAGAGACTGGAAGGAGACCACAGCTCCTCCATCGCACGAGAGCATCAGCACCACAGTGATGTTTGTCATGCATCTACTCACATGAATCCCGGTCTAGTGGAGGTAATCCTCGAAAAATGTACAACTCTTGCGTGCAACGCGTGTTAGCTGCTTTTCTGAAACGATGCAGTCGTCATGTAGAAAGTTCCTTAGGATGGGCAAATAAAAAGAGACAGTTTCCCCTTTCTCTCTCTCGGTGTTGCCTGTCATAAGTTTGTAGAGGAGAGTGAAGGCTCGATCCCCATGCAGGGGAACTGACTTTATGCTAAATATCTCGTGCGACAGGTCCGCGGCAGAAATGAATGCCCACCCCTTGACTCTCTCTCTCTCTCTCTCTCTCTCTCTCTCTCTCTCTCTCTCTCTCTCTCTCTCTCTCTCTCTCTCTCTCTCTCTCTCTCTCTCTCTCTCTCTCTCTCTCTCTCTCTCTCTCTCTCTCTCTCTCTCTCTCTCTCTCTCTCTCTCTTTCAGTCTCTCACACACATGCGCTCGCTAAACATACGCACAGTAAATCAAGGTTTCAGTCAGTCACCCTGGGCTAGCCTACCTTCCACAGGTTCTAGTTAATTCAGCTAGTCTAGTTCTGTAGTCTAAATTAAATATTTTTTCTCAACCCCACATAGGACATTTCCTCAAACACTTAAAATAGAGGGTTTTAGCTGGCATTCATGGTTCCATAAAGAACCTTTAACAATCATGGAACCTTTCAAATGGACAAAAGATTCTTTTGGAAAAGCCTCTTCAGATTATTATTACAAAACATAACAGGAATGTGATTCGCTGAAAGGTTCTGTATGACATATTTTGGAACCTTAAAAATTTGCAGTAGGCTATTAATCTGGCCTATTTTAATGAAGAATATAGCCTATTGGCTACTGTATAGCCTAAAAAAATGAAAACAAAATAAAAACAAAACCATGCCTAGTCAGTTGTAGCCTAGTAGATGTGTGCAGATATAATTCTCTCTTTAGGACATTCAGTGGGTTTAATACCAATCAATCGACCCATCATTTTCGTCAGTTTTGCGTGAAACTCCACGACTAAGCTGCTATCTCAAGTTATACTATGCATTTTAGCAATGTTTCTTTATCACGCAAATGTACGTAGTCTTATGCACGTTTCCTTATATTCAAAGAGAAAACAGACACCCCATAATTATATATATATATATATATATATATATATATATAATAAATAAAACGAAATAACTGGTTTCTTATTCTTTGATATTCTTTTACTCTGAAGATATAGCAGTTTGTTAGTTTGTTGCATAGCCTATTTCTGCTGATATTTCTTTGTTACACAACACGACGTTATAGATATAGATTATGGATAGATTTCATACCCCACCTGCAGTCAAGCAAAAGCTACTGCCCTGCTTGAGCAAAGTTCTTGAATTTGGATATGAACTTTTGTGCATCAATCCAATTAGCCATTTTAATCAGGTGTATGCTATTCCTGTTAGCAAAAACCTTCATAGACGTTCTCAACTGCTTTGCAGCATTGACATAAGTTTCTGCATTGACGTGTATTGTTAATTTCTATCCCGTGTTTATGAAGTGAACGCCTCCGTCGTGCTGTTTCGTCATCAGTGTAATTCAACCAACCCTGTTCGGATGTGATTTCACCAAAGAGCCGCCCCTTTTTATACGCGAACCCGAGAAAATGAATGTTACAATAATGATACACAGTTTTATTGGCTTTAAAATATATAAACACGTAAAACTAGCCATTTAAAAGTAAGCTAATTATTTGTGATTTTTTCGAAATAACGAACTAATCTGTTTTTAAATAGACGGGAAGTAAGACTTAGAGTCAGAAGACCATTGGCTGAAACAGCTGTCAGTTGACAGGAAGTATCAAGTTAGTGTGCGCCTACACCATTTCCACGTCAGTAAGTTTGCCTGTGGTGGAGATTACCTACCGGTGACAGAATATCTGTCTAGTGATTTAACAGAAAAACATCAGGGCATGACAACTCTACGTGGAACTGTCTAAGATGTAAGCCTTTATTCAACGCAGTCATTGCTGCATTATTACTTGTCTGTACGCTTTTTGTAGCCTGCTAAACTAGTTAGCCAAACGAGTGGAAATGAATCTGAACGCCATTTTGGATTCGCTGCCACAGAGTCAACAGCAGTGTTTTCATGTTTTTCTGTTTACCGACAGACGAGTGAACGCAGAAAGAGATACAATCTCTTATAAAACAAAACGAGGTCTCATTTCACACCTTTATATGTGCAGTTTAGCGGCAGTAGTCAGCATGACAAACCAATTGCTAGCTTGTTGACAGGTTGGTAGGATGCATCATCAGCTCTGTTGATTATTCATAAGTCTTTTGTTTTTCTCATTCATAGTCGCACATCAAAGTAGAAGATATATGTTCATATGTGATCATTTGCAGGTCGCTGAACACGGTGTACTTTGCCATTGACAAGCTTTGCTAGCAAGCTCGCTAAGCTTATTGGCCTACTGATCATTTCAGCTATAATCAATTCCCACTCCTCGTCAACCTTTGTACAGCGCAGTGAGACAGATTGTTTGTTATCTAGATGCTGTTATTACTAATACTGTTCAAAGTTACTGATCTATTGCTGTGTACCTGATGGTTGTCATGAAGATGTGCTATAGCATCATGATGCTGGTTGTTCGTACCTTACGTGGCCAGCGTCACTGAATGACGCGGGCCGTCTTGTAAGAGCGCATTCAAGTTGTGCTTCATTAGATGGCTTGATGTTTATGCTAAGATGTTTGACTTTAGAGTTACATAATTTCTCTTCATTATGCGTAGGTTCAGAGGAGGATGCTGTATGTACTACACAGCAGATGCAGTGTATATAAGTTACACTGATATAAGAGAATATGAAACTCATTATGGAACCCTTGGAAGACACAAACTAAGCTAAAATATGCAATTTTGTGCAGTTACTGATATTTATATCATGACTAAATTCGGATAGCTTGTAATGTACAATCAATAAGGTTTTTATAACCATACAGAAGACTTCTTTCATAAAATGTAAATATCAGATGACAGACTTGACACAAAGCTCTGTTGTGTTATTGTGGGGGGCAAAACATGTAAATCAGTGCAATGATGACTGAGAGATGTACTTATAAATGTTCCTCAAAAAAGCCTAGTATTTTGATACTGGCATTTTAACATGACTTTTCTAAAAAAAAAAAAAAGTATGGATCATTTGATATTTTGATATTAATTATGAAATTAATGATTTCAATACCCCGCATATAGATAGCGTCTTTCTGATGCCCAAACATTCTTATCTATATACTAAGGTGGCCACTGGTGAATTACTTCTGGGTTTTGACGTCATCTCTGCACCACTCTGTTGTGAATCTCATAAAACCATGGGTTTGATGGGCTTAAGTTTAACCTACCAGTACATGAGCCAAACATTTGCAAGTCTTTCTGCATAAACTAAACTAGTAGATTTTTTTTAGAAGATACAGAGGCTATTGGAAATACTTTCTGAAGTTTCTATAAGTACGTTTGCTTGGTTACACAGAGCCTCTTTGATCCTGAAAGTTGTATGGATGGTCTGATTTCTAATATTATTGGGGTTGGAGACATTAAAATTTTTTTGGACTTCTGTGCTGCCTTTCTTGCCCCCACAAGAAGACACTATATGGCATAATGAAGTCTGAGCTGATTCTACCTTTTTGCTGCATTGCCTGATGCTTTAGTTTACACAGATATTACCACTAGCTTAAGCTCTGGTCTAGTTGAGCTGTCCGACTAGGATGATCATATATAACAGTGTTTACCCTACCGTTGTTTGAGGGTGTGTATTCTAACTTCATTCCCCAAATTTTTCGACTTTCTCGAAATATTCAGACTTTATTCTCGAAATATTCAGACTTTATTCTCGAAATGCTAGAATTTATTTATTTATTTATTTATTTTACAAATTTTTGAGATTATTGCTTGTGTGTAATTGCATATCTCTAATTGCACTCTAGATTCACTATGGTGGACAAGAATATATACATCGTTCAAGGGGAGATTTCTGTTGTTGTGTCTGCTATCAAGAGGAACTCTAGATGGAGTACCCATACTCCATTGGTAAGTAATTCAGTTTAGATTTATTTTAAGAACATTGTAATTATCTGAAATGGTCTGATGTCCCATTATAGATATGAAGTGATATTTAGCCTGACCATATACTACTGATCTTAGTCACTCCATCTATGATGATTTGTAATATATAAAATCTGTTGTTATGAGGACACATTCTCAAAATTCATTTAATGGCCATATGTTTCTCAATTCTTGAATATTTAAGTTATTGGGATATTAAAGTTATTGCTGAAATTGATAAGGCAATACATATTTTCACGTTACAAGCTAGCTGGTAACAGATAATTCTATAGCTTTGTCTAAAAGAAAACATTGAAATCAGTTGTTTTGCTAAAAGTGAGTTTAGGCATTAATTCAATTCACTTTTATTTGTATGTTTTTTTTACAATACATATCGTTTCATAGGATCTTTACAGAAAATGCATGTCTACATTACAAAACTTGATTTTCATTTTGAGATGTGCTAAAGATTACATTTAACAGTGCAATGTTAAATGAATTTTAAGGGTGCTGCTTTCACACTTGGTTTTATTTCCTGTTTCGAACCCGAGTTCAGTTGCCCCCCCTCCCTCGGCCCCCGCTGGACTGTATTCAGATAATATTATTTGGGTCAGAACTGCGATGTGTTTGCGTCATCAAAGCAGAAGCTGTTTTTTACCCCATTGCTTGGTAATGACCGTGCAGGAGAAGCCAGCAATATGCAAATGCACAGTGTTGCTAACCTCAGTTTAATATTTTAGTTTTTGAACCATTGGTTTTGTTTCCAAAGCTTCAGCATGTAACGGCACTTGCGCCGATCTGCCTCGAATATACTGCAAATGACCTAAAAGAAAGTCGAAGAGAAGCAGAAATGAAATATGCAGCTTTCTGCTTGCAGTGCATCAGTTACGCTCGTCTGGAGAGTTTTTATCTAATAATATATCATTAATAGCATGTTCACTTCTGCAATTTAGTGCGATTGTGTTCATATCAGCAGCAAACTGTACCAGACTGTTCAGAGAACAGCGTTCACATCATCCAAAGGAACCAAACTCAAATTTCAATCAAACCTGGGTACATACAGTACCAAAAGTGCTGGCGTGAAAGCACCCTAAGATGAAGTTTAAGTGAGTGTTAAATGTTGGCAAAGGTAAATGTAATAGTAGTAATAATAATAATAGGAGAAATTTGCATGCAGAGTTAAATATCCAGTACCAACCCATATAGAAAATCATATCACCAATCGATGAAAAATCTCTAATATTGGTCAATAACTGATAAGGGATCCATACATAATGCATCCCATATTTAAATAACATATCAATTAGTGAAATCATATGACAAGTTGCTAACTGGAATGCTAAAATGTTCCTCATTCTTTGACAGGATGAAGAACAGGACCCACTACTCAACAGCTTCAGCCTCTTGAAAGACACCCTCAATAACATAAAAGGTTAGATTTGATCATTTAATTTTGAACGTATCATTTTGACCAAACTCCGGATTGCAGTAAATGAGTAATTAACTAAAATGGTGACTAGACTAGACACTTCTGTCCTTTTGGAGTCCATTCATCCAGCCTCTTCATTTTGTAACAGTAGCTGTTGAAATGCCCCTTTCCATCTAAATCCTCATAAAACAGATTTTTGTTGACAAAGTCCTAAACGTAAGTATTTTGTGGCATTTTGACACAGCACCATTTTTTCGTTTCCTTTATTTAAGACTAGACTGAACCACGCCAGATGGGATCAAACTAAACAGACTCATTTATCATTCGCCAAAGTGCTTCTTTCCTGCTACAGAACCAAAGCATATTTAACCAGGTGTATGCTAAATTTCCTTTGAGAAAAGGCATGGCCTTTTCAAATCAGTCAATATTATCTTTCTCAATGTCTTATTATTGGGCTTTTATGCCACCTTATCATTTTTGGGGTCCCATGGAAACTATGTCAGTGTTTGTTCATTAAGTTATCCAAATACCTCTTAATGAATAGGACAGCTAAGGTAAATGTTATGCTATGTTTTTATGCAATTGTTCCTCTGTTGAAAAAGACAAGAAAATTCATTCTTACTGTGACGCTCTGTTGTGGTATTTCCACAATTCCACTAACTTTATTTACTATAAAGTGCTCACTTATGTCCACAACAGTGACATCTATGGCTTGTTTACAGAATTACACTAGAATCTTAAGAGCTTTTGTGTTCAAGTAACATTAATGTAACTTTAATGAGTGTGATGACTGATTAAAACAGTCTTTTAGGTAAGAGGACACAAACTATCTCGAGTCTCGACTACCATGACTTCCATTTGGTTGCTAAAAGTCCTGCTTAAGCATGCCAGCCTGATTCATCATAGTGAATTTCTGTGTATTAATGGAGGGGTGCGAGTTGATGAGATGTGCAGCAGCTCTCTGCTCTGTCTGTATGTCGTCATGCCTCTGTAATGGAAGCCCTGGACAGGAGTCCGCTCTCTGGAGAATACTGCTGCTCTGAGATGGACAGGAGCGGCTGTGTCTGGAGCGGACCCAGGCAGAAATCTACCAAACTCCCCCTCAGACCCCACAGCAAAGGCCTTGTTAGTTCTCTTGTGTTGTTGAGCAAGTGCTGACTTTCATTCACCTACTTCATCGTGAATAAAATGGGTGATGTTAGCTTGTTTTCCAAGCTACACTACTGGGATATGTAGTATTTGTTGTGCTCATCAAGGCTACATTTATTTGATCAAAAATAACAGTAATATTGTGAAATATTATTACACCTTAAAGTAATCGTTTTCTATTTTAATAGATTGTAAAATATAATTTATTCCTGTGATGGCAAAGCTGATTTTTTTATCATCATTACTCCAGTCTTTAGTGTCACACGATCCTTCAGAAATCATTGTAGTATGCTGGTTTGTTGGTTAATTTAATGCATCCTTGCTGAATATATCTTAAATTCTGGCTCACCCCTAACTTTTGAACAGTATTGTAGGATGCAAATTAATGTGCGCCGTTATTTCTGGAGGAATCAAACAAGTGGCTGTAAGTTATGCCCATCCTTTGATCACTGAAAAGCTTGAAGGCAAATAACCAGCCTTTATTTCACTGATTGCTTTGTTTTACTAATTGTCTCTTAATAATAGATCTAAAACCATAAGCACTTAGTGAGAACTAAGTGTACAAATATTGCTCAATGCCTTTTCAAGATTGATAAAATGGGTTGAATGGGATCTGGTGTTGCCAGTGTTTTGGCTCAGTGGACTGTGAATTAAATTTATATATATGTATCTCTTAAATAGCCCAGCTGTCTTCTTAATGAAAGCCTGTAATTCCATTCACATTGTGGCCATTTTATCTTAGCCAACAACAAAAGATACCGCCAAAGGAAATGTGGATTAGCTCCAAAGGTTTACTAGCCACTTTCACTGACTTGATAAAGGTTTCATTTCTCCTTCCGCTGCACCAGCCGTTTGATTGGCAGGCACATGTGCCGTATGGCGGCAGAATGCAGCTGGAAGTATATCATCTGCAGTTTAGGTTGGGTAAATATAGCAGGGAGACTTGTCAACCCGAGAGATGGATTGTTCTGGGAAAGGAAGTGTTGTCTCTCCCTCCACAAAAAAGTGTTCTTGTCTTGAATGAGGCCATTTTTGTATTTGTGAAACAAAGAGTTTCCAGTCTTGAGTTTAGTACATCAGAAACATGTGTTGGTACTTAAGCTACCTCTCTACACTTGATTCATGCAGTGTTTGTTGTAGGCTGGTTTTAGGTCAGATGTGCTGAACAAGACAAAGTTTGCATGTTGTGAAGTGTGCAACCCCCCCACAATTTGGATTTGCATGTTGGAAAAATTCTTTAAGTAGCAGATTAAATAGAAATGTACCTATTTCATTTGCACCCGTATTCATAAAGATCGTAAGAATCCTCTCAAAAAACTCTTAATTTAGCTTAAAAAACTTTTATGTGGGAGTCTTAGCTTAAGAGCGATTCGGGACGAATCTGAGAACAACTCTGAGTAGAAAACTTTCAACTTAGTGAGGAGGCGGGGTTGATCCTGTTTCTTTGTATGACACAATCTTTTGAAGACTGTGATTGGTTGGTTGTCCAAGAAGGAAAAATAGTGATTTTAATGATTGGCTTTGAATGATAGAAATTGTTCAACTCTTTCCAAATACACTGATTGCTGGCATGTCTATTTAAGTGGTCGTTTGAATATTGGTTGGTTTTAATGTAACAAACATGGAATCAAAACCAAGAAGGAGAGAAAGCCCTACTAGACACAGAGGAACAGTGTATACTGTCAGCCCAGTTAGTGGATGAACAGAAGGCCATCCTTAAAGAAAAATTTGGGACGAGTGTCAATCTATAGCATCTTACTAACTCACTGTCATCCACTCTCTGCAACACATTTTCTCTCCCTCTTCATCTTTCTTCCATTTTCTCCTCTGCTAACGAAACTCTTAAGCCTCTTAAAAGTCCTCGTCTGTACTAATTTTGACCTTAAGACCTCCAAGATTCTCTCTGAATTAATTTTTTCTAGGATTTTTTCTTTAATTTTGAGTAAACGCCCACGTTTCTAAGAATTTTCTTAGAATTTTGTCACTACACTCTTAGAAGTAAAGGTTCTATATAGAACCTTAAAAGGTTCTATCCGCGCTATGTATTTGGAACTGCTAAAAGGTTCTATACAGAACCCTTTTTGAGGGTTCAATAACAAGAACCCTTTAGGGAACCTTTTGGGTTCATTCATTATCATTTGTTTTGTCCTTTCCGGATTAAATATTTCATATTATTGACAAACATCAAAACCCTAAAATGTATTTGTGAATGCATGTGAATGATCACAAAATTCAAGATATGGGAGTTAGAAAATGTATATATTTATATAATTTTATGTAGTTAATCAATATCACACGAAGAGTGCCATTTCAGTTTTCTCCTCCAAAAATCAACATAATTAAAATGTGATATTAAGTTACTACAACAGTTTAATAAACAATAATTTAATTACAACTACAAAATGTTGCAGAATAATGTAATATATGAATGAATAATAGTCTATAAAGAACCTTTGTGCCAAAAGGGTTCTTTCTTGTCATTAGCATAACATTTTTTAGCATAAAAGGTTCTTTGGAGTTGAGTAAAGAACTCTATGCTTCATATATAGAACACCAATGAACAGCACTTTATTCTAAGAGTGTAGGAGCTACTCTTTGCATTAAGATTCTTAATGAATACGGGCCCAGATATTTAGGTTACATATTGTTATAGATACCATAAGTACCCTACTTTTTTTTTGACTGACATACTGAAGTCATCGCTGAGTTTTCGATTTGTCTTTTGTCTTGGAATCTCAAGCATGAAGGTGGTGACAGCAATGATCTATTTCATCTGGTGTTATTTGCACAAGACTCTTGGAGTGAGCTGCGCTTAGTTGCTGATAAGCATGCCCAGACCGAATCTGCAGACTTTTGCATTTTCCGTCTTGATGTGAGGGAAAGTTATATGGAATGATTTTAGCTGTTGTAAAATGTGTTAAAGGGACATCAAAATCTGACTAACTTCATTCTGTGGAAAGTAAGACAGTTGCCTAACTTGCATTGATGCCATGCATTGATAAGAAGAGTTGAGAGCCTTTTGCTTTAAGTTTTAATTGAAAATGGATAGTTATAATTGCCTCCAGGACCATTATTTTAGTATATAATATTTACATTTTTGCCAATTTATAAAATAAACATAAAGTACAATAGTCCTCTGTTGGCAGCAGAAGCCAGTCAGATGGTCTTATTATCCGGAATCCCTCTGGAATTACAAACAAGCAACTTGGGGTTGCAAATGGATGTCAGTGTATTCTGGGGTTTGTGCTCAGACGCACTGTTTTGAAATCCAAAAACGTACTAGTATTGGAGAAATAAGGTTTAGATCTTGTGTAGCTTGATGGACAACTGCTATATGAATCTATTGGTTTTGTAAGGGAGATATTCTAGCTATGAAACTTGGTCTGTTTAACATCAAATTGAGAACTAGGATTCAGTTTGAGGTCAGGTAATTCTGTGGGATGTTTTTGATATCCGCTCTACATCGAATCTCGAACCATTGAAGCAAATAGGAGGGGAAGAAACGACTGTTGGAATGAAGATGTCTCGCCTTCTCATAGTATTCCCTTTTTATACACTAGTCAGCCCAAGCTTTAGTCCTTTAGAGCTTTGAATCTTCCTCCAACCCTCCCCCCTCCCTTCGCGTCAAAGGTCAGGTTTTTGACAAGTCTGTAGAGGAAGCCGACAGACTAAATCCTCTCATTTTTATTCATACAAATACAGGTTTAAAGACGCCACCTGGTAGATCCAATTCCAGAGCTTTGTTTGACTGACAACTCTCTCACTTACCCTACTGTACCCCTAGCATTTCCTCCCGTTTGGTTTTCAGGTACTAAAGAAAGTCCTCCTCTAATAGGTCAGACCACACCATCCGA